AAATCTCTTGTCTTGTTTTGGAATATCATTTCTAGCCTTAGCTTTGAAATGGCCAGGGGGAAAAAGTGATCATGCACTATGGTCAAGGGCGCATTCTTAGCGGTATTTCATAAATGATGCATTTCCTCAAAAGAGTTTTTGGAAAAGTTACTTTTTTAGAATGCGGCTCCTAGAATCCTCCAGTCAGTATGATCACCAACTGATCTGTAATACAGTCTCCCTCTTTTCCCACTGCCTTTCACAGCTGACTGTTCTTCCTTTCCCTGCCTGGATCTATTTAATTTAGATGAATTTAACTAGAATTTATAGGTAGACCTTGATTGTGTGTAATTTTTTTTATCATATTTGTGTATTGATATTTTGTGTGTCTGGATTAGGAATGCTTGAAGACTTTCATCTTTACAAATTCTATTATGAACTGTTCATTCCAATATAGCCAACATGGCTGTCCTTAAATGTCTCGATCTATATATAGCTCTTGTATTAACGTGTGAATTGGACAGCCAGTGTGATGTAGTAATCAGTGATATAGACTTAATCACTTCAGTGACTTGACTTGGACTCGACTCAGCAATAAATTACACGCTGACTTGACTCACGACTTGTATTTTTTTAGCAACCAACTTGCTGGTGTCATTCACTTTGAGCTGCAGGCAAGACCTACCTCCAGAGTGCAGGGTGCATTTCTTGGACGTGAACGACAAATGTGTTAGGCAGCAAGCTTGAGGTGGAAAGATCCTTCTAAACTTTTGAAAAGCTTTAGAAGGCTCCTCTGATATGCAGGAGGGACAGACTGCCAAGCAGACCTCAAGCACATTTTTGCTGTTCCCCTCTGAGAAATGTGCATTCCCTCCCTTTTTTTCTGTTAAAGTTGGCTCTCAGACTTGAGACTCAGCTTGAAAATAACCTGCAAGGATTTGGGATTCAACTTCAGACTTGAAAGTAGAGGCTTGAAACTTGACTTAAGACTAGAGTGTTGGAATGGGACTTGGGATATTAGTTTCATGTCCCCATTGAACCATTAAGTGCAGTTTAATAATAATAAATTATAAATCCACTGACATCCTCCTTCCTAAATGTTTCAGTGTTTTTCTCAGCCCCCAAAAGTATGAAGATTCATTAAAAAATGGGGGAGAGAGATGTACAATTGAGTGAAAAATACATTTAGATATATGTATTTAAATATGATTGTTCATGCAGATGTTTAAAAATAATTACAGACTAATATGGAAGTGGGATGGAACAAATTTATGAGTGAACACGTGCAGAACTGACACAGACCAGAAATAGACTAATTAATCCATCCCTAATCTGGATAGGAAAAAAACTACATCATCATCATCATCTCCAGTCTTGTCATGTTCAGTAGCATGCATGATTCCTTTTTTCCTGCAGTGGCACAAGAACATATGAACTAGTGGCAAAGCATAGAAAGAAGAACAAACAATATGCATTTTTTCTTTTTTCTCTCTCCACCAAATCTAAGCAGAACCTTTGAGGTTTTGCAGTCAATAATCCGTCCTGGATTAGCAGTTGTACATTTACTTAGCCACAAGTGCATGTAGAACATCTGTTTCAGCATTTCCAGTCAGGAGAAATTCGTCCATCACCCACATGTGTTTTCCAGATGGATATTTTTTAAAACTGTTCGACAGAGTCAACATTTAGGAATAGCATTGTGTTCTCTTCAGGTTTCCTTAGGGGAGCTCACTCATCATCACCTTCATCCCTTCCTCTCCCCCGCAAGCATTCCCACTAAGGATTTGACAAGTTTTATTATGTGGTGTTTGTAAGTCGTTTGTAAATTTAAACATTTAAACTCAAATTTCAGTTGTTCCTCAACCAGGAGAGTTCAGATCCAAATTTGCACCCCGTGGGTGGTTTGTACGTGTTACATCTTTTTAAAACTAATTGGACAAAATGTTCACTCCCTGATGTCTGGCTGATGTGTGTGTGTGTTTTAAAAAATAGTTTGGTTCAAATTGCACAGTTATAAAAACAGCTTTTATTTCCGTCTTTCCCATGCGTCACACTCTCATGATATGTCCAAAGTATGACAGCCTCAGTTTTTAGTGTACGCTTTCAAGAAAGACAGAATAAGAAAAAGCAGCATAGATGGCAAACATTTAAATTGAATCTGATGTTGAACACTGGATAAAGGTGTATCCAGCATCTGTAAAGAATATTAATTGTACAAATGCTGGGGTTGTGCAGTAGTCATTAGTCTTTACAGATGCTGGATACAACTTTATCCAGTGTTCAACATCAGATCCAATTTAAATGTTTGCCATCTATGCTGCTTTTTCTTATTCTGTCTTTCTTGTAAGCGTATGCTAAGAACTGAAGCTGTCATACTTTGGACATATCATGAGACAGTGTGATGCATGGGAAAAGACAATGATGCTTGGTGAAGTGAAAGGCAATGGGAAAAGAAGGAGACTGTATTACAAGTGGATTAATTCAATCAAGGGAGCCACAGCTCTGAGTTTACAAGACCTGAGCATAGCTGTTGATGCCTAAGGCTTTGGAAGTAAGCTGAAACAATTTTAGATTAATGTAAAAATGAATAGAAATTAAGAATAGAATGAATGAACACTCTTATATTTGTAATAGTTGTACAGAAGAGAGAATTTTATCAGATGTGCCTTATTGAACAGGGATGAAGAAGCTGTATTACTTTATCAGAACGGTCATACAAGGAAAAATCCTTGCTCAGCAAACTACAACAGGCTGACTGAGAAACATGGGCAATGTCTCTGCATGGTGTGAGGGCCCACAGAGTTTCCAAAAACTCTTTAGGAAGAGCAAAATTGTTGTTGGTGTGTGCCTTTAAGTTGTTTCCAACTTATGGCAAACCTATCATTCTTTTTTGGGGGGGGGGATTTGTTTAGAGTGAGTTTGCCTTTGCCTTCTTTGAGGCTGAAAGAATGTGACTTGCCCAAGGACACACAGTGGGTTTCCATGGTTGAGTGGGGATTTGAAGCCTGATCTCCAGAGTCATAATCCAAGGCTCAAACCACTACACTATGCTGACAAAATTAGCCCTCCTCACACACCAGTGATCATGGTCATTGGCCACAGAATGCCTTGGGAATGGGACAGAAAATGTGAGAAGTGGTGGTCGTGGTGGAATGAAGTATACTGAAGGAGAGAGGGAATGGCTGGCTGGACAGAAAATAATGTACTGGAACATTTTGTTGCACATTCTTGGACAGATACAGAGAGATGAGTCAGGAACTGACTGCAACTCCTTTCTGTTACCTGAGATGAGAAAATGGGTTTATATTTATATTTCCCACTATACAGTATGGCAGGGCTATTCAGGAATTCACTTCTATAGTTACTTAGTTCTGTTTACAATTGAGGTCTAGTTTTATCCTTTCAGTTTACTGATAAAACCCTATCTGTCCTACCCCCCCCCCAGATATTTCTACACAAATTCCACTCTTATACCATCCAAATACCAGTGTTGACTCTATTCTCTCTACGTCAGAACAAAACTTGTAAGATCACCAATTTTCATTCTTCCCTTTTTGGTCACTCAACCAATCTGTAAGAGCTCTGGCTTTGCAATGATATGTTTGCTCACCTCTTAATTTTAGATCAGTATATAGCAGGGGTAGGCAACCTTTTTGAGCCAGGGGCTGGGTTGCTGTCCCTCAGACAATTGGGGGGCCCGAAACACAATAAATAAATAAATTCTTTTTTTAAAAAAAATTTTTTTTAAAAAAAATGCATGCACACTCTCTCAGCCCCAGAAAAGCCATGGCAAAACCCCTGTGGAGATTTTGCCAAAAACAAACAAACCCAAGAACAAGTAATAACAACAATAATCAATATCATCATGTCCGCCGGCAGCGGGGGGGGGCGACGGCAGCGGCAGGACTGGGCTGGGGCTGGTCCAAAGGCCTTGGGGGCCGCATCCGGCCCCCGGGCCTTAGGTTGTCTACCCCTGGTATATAGAGTCTGAAATATCTTTTTATTTTCCATTTGAATCTAGATACACTGTCCAGGGTTTTTGCTATTGCTATTTTGGGGTCTTTTAAAATATAATATGCAGTGGCTCAAGTGGTTAAGATGCTGACTTTGTTGATTGAAAGATCAGCAAGTTGGCAGTTCGAGGCCCAGGTGCTGCATGATGAGGAGAGCTCCTGTCACTAGTCCCAGCTTCTGCCAGCCTAGCATTTTGAAAGCATGCAAATCCAAGTAGATAAATTGGTACCACTTCAGTGGGAAGATAAACAGTGTTCTGTGCAATCATGCTGGCCACAGGATCACAGAGTAGTCTGTGACAACTCTGGTTCTTTAGCTTAACAGAGATGAGCATGGTTGGACATGACTTGACAACTTGTCAACAGGGAATACCTTTACCTATACTTTGTATGACTTGTTTGTTGTTGTGTGCCTTCAAGACATTTCTAACTTACTATGACTGTAAGACAAACCTATTGTGGGGTTTTCTGTTGGGGTGTATTGAAAAAAATCACAGCAGAGTTATGGAGTCAACAAATATAGAGCTTTACTTCAGCAGAGTGTAAGGCAAAAAATAAGCAAAACAAAAACATAGCATAATAGCCAAGTACATATACAATGTAGAAAAAAGGCATAACATAACTTTCTGCAAACCTGCAGTACTATAATTCCTTAGCAAAGAGAAAAAAAACTTACACCCCAGCAATATGAAAAACAACAGGCTTCTGACTGACATGAAAAGTAATACACTCTCTAACACTCAAGCAAATTCACTATGCAGTTATACTCTGCTAAGTGGCTATCCAGACCACCTGGCCTAATTTACTAACTGCAAAATTAATTGCCAGAGCTGGCTTACAATCATGGACTTTCACCTGCCACTTTGCTATACCTTCATCCAGTCACAACTTAGCAAACTGGCATACCTCGACATTTTCTTGGCCAGATTTGTTCAGAGTGGGTTTGCCTTTGCTTTCCTCTGAGGCTGAGAAAGTGTGACTTGCCCAAGCTCACCCAGTGGGCTTCCATGCCTGAGCAGGATTTTGAACCCTAGTCACCTGGAGTCTTAGTCCAACACTCAAACCACTACACCACACTAGTTCTATGCATGACTTATATCTTTTATTAATAATAAAAAGTCACCAGTCATATTCCAACATTCTAACTGCTCATTCCATCCCTTTTCCCCCAACCTCCCACTTACTTTATATAATCTAATTTATAAGCAAAGACGTTTAGATAGAAGTGAGGGACATTTGCAGGGAAAGAGAAGTCCTGTCTTCTGCATCGGGTGATAGTTTGGGTATTGTATTTGCTCTACTTTCATAGTGGTCAGGAAATATCACATTAGTATAGTTGGCCCTCTGTATCTACAGATTTTGCACCTATGGATCCAAACATCCACAGCTTAATTTTTTTTTTAAATCCAAAAAGCAATATTTATTTTGCCATTTTATATAAGAGGCACTGTTTTATTACAGTGTTACATATAGTGGGATGTGAGCATCCACAGATTTTGGTATCCACTGCGGGTCCCAGAACCAAACCCCAGCAGATCCCAAGGGCCCACTGTAAAAGGGCCCTTCCTTTGAGGTATGCACAGATTTTTACCAATCTTTTGCTAAGGGTGAGGATTCAAGTTCAAGTTCTGTACAAGTTCTCTAGAATGGGCTGGAACTGTTTTGTGCAGTTCCTGAGATGTGAGAATGAGTAATGGCCTCTGCAAAGAAGATTTGAAAAGTAAATAGCAGAAGAATCTAGTAGCACCTTTGAGACTAACCAATTTATTTTAGCATGGCCTTTTGTGGATATTAGTCCACTTCTTCAATTGCACTGATAGGGTCCAACATTAACACCACAGACATTGAAGCAGTTACATAGTTGTGGTAGTCGGACCAGAGTGCAGTGGGGGATACACAGTGGTGCAGACTATGACGCTGGCCATAATGGCTTTGGTTAGCACAGTTCAGAAAATTATTGTGTTGATCTGAATGACTAGACAGCCATCTCTTTCAAGATGGGAAAAGGCCTCTCCCCCCATATGATTGAGAAAGATAAATACATATTGACTGAACACTTGAGGGACTATTCACACACCCAAGAATTATTGCTTTACAGCATGGTCCTGTGTAGGCTTACTTGGAATCAAGTCCCTTGGCCACTCCTGTTAGGCACCAGAAAGCACACAAATGATTTCTTACATTTCTGTGTTGCCTAATAGCCAAAACTGTCTGAGCAATTCACAAACAAAGCTTGAAGCCTCCTTGCTGAAGCGAGCCTTGCAGAATTCTGCAATACTGTCTCTGTGTTTTGTTTACTTGTTGTCTCTAATAGTTATATTTTTAAACTGGCTTTAATTTTATGGATAGTTTGATGATATTTTTAACTTTGTATTTGATATTGTTTTAGCTATGTTTCTTTTAACTCTGATAAGCTGCCGAGAGTCTCAAATTGGGGAAAAGTTGGTACATTAACAACAATGACAACAAATAAATGGTCCTCAAGCAAATCAAGTCCAAACTCTCCCTGGAACCTAACATGGCTAAGCTAAAACTCATACTTTGAGAATATCATGAGAAAACATGACTCAGTTGAAGAGGCAATAATGTTTGGAAAGGTAGAAGGCGACAGGGAAAGGGGAAGACCACATTATATAGGGGGATAGACTCAGGGGCTAAGCAGACTATTTTAGCGCTCCTTCAACAAGTCGCCGAGGGTGCACCGCAAAAGGCTGGCGGCGCACCTTCGGCGAATCTTCTGCCGCAGCGTTTGTGAACGCTGCAGTGGGAAGTCATCGTCGGAGCGCCGGCTTTGCAGAGGGGCCGGCGCTCCAACGATGACTTTGGGAAGGGGTTGGGGCGCCCACCGTGCGGATGCCCCTCCCCTTCCTTGCCCCCAAGACAGCCCTTTTAGCCGTCTACTTTCCCCCTCAGTCAAGGAAGCCACTGCTGACTTTGCAAGGCCTGAGCAGGGCTATTGAAAATGGTGGCTTAGAGATCTCTCATTCATAAGGTTTCCATAG